TCATGTGATGTCTGTTTATTCTCAGGGTGAGTTGTCTGGGAGTCACATTACACAGCAGGCAAGCTCAGCCATGATCTAAATATAACTTGTGTGATTTTTGTTTTGTTTTGTTTGTCAATTCCTTTTAGTATTTATTGCAAGATGAAAGTCAAAATGGAGACCCGGTATTGAGTGCCTCCTTTATAAATGCTGATATATACCCCTCCTGTGCTATTGCTCTACTTTTCACATTATGATGGGAGCTTTGGTATTTAATACAGAATAGGAATGGGAGATATTCTGTTGTCTAGAAAGCAGTTAAGTACCATATCATTTTATTTTCTATTCAAATATGCCTTTTTAGTACCATCATTGATGCAGTCATTGTTAAAGTTTTATGTAAGAACCCTGTTTTCCTTGTTAAGTTATAGCAATTTCTTGCTATTGGAGACTTGTAGCAGTGTTCCTACTATGGTTTGAGTCCATATGTGATTGTGATTCTGATGTGGCAGCCTATTTATATTCTGGCTTTTGAGGGCAAGAACACGGAGAAGCTGAAGCACACATAATCACACTCTGCTCATTTGTCTGGGAAACAGGGAGTTGTTAACAATCAATGCTTCTTTTTGATATTTGGGTGCCTCTGCTCTTTGAGGTTCGGCATATGTGAGGGATGTCTGGATTCATGAGGAAGGAAGCACAGTGTTCTGTTTGCCTGGTGCTTGCCTGAGTTGGGGTATTGGGTCCATGCTAGTTTACTCACTCACTTACCCCATGCATAGTGCTTCATGCTGTATGGAAAGACAGCACGAAGTCAACTGTGCATTTGTGTTTCGTGAGCTATTTTACTTTAGAGACAGGAATCTCTATGTAGTCCTGGCTGGCTTGCAACTCAATTCTGTAGACCAAGCTGGCCTAGAAATCAGAGATCTGTCTGCCTCTGCCTCCTGAGATCCAGGATTAGAAGTGTGGCTTGGCCAGCTCATTTCACATTTAGGAGAACTTTAATAAACTGAGATCTGTTTTACAGAAGTACATAGACTGCCCAGTGCCTTTTCTATTTTAGCACTTTTTAGTTAATACAGTCTTTAGGAATTTTGTGCTAACCTAGAATGGAATTTTAATTTCGTGTCTTCTGATTGATTTCATATCGGTGGGACCTGACTTGGATACCAATTGAAACGATTTCCAACAAGGCCTCTAGTTAGATGTGGTCCTATAGCTACTCCTTTCCTAATCGATAGATCACTTATTGTTCTTGTTAGATTATTGACATAAATAGCTCTGTAGGTAAAGAGCTTGTTGCCAAGCTTGAGTTTGATCCTGCACCCGTGTGATAGAAAGAATTGTCTACCACAAGTCGTTTGACCTGTTCATGTGCTGCGGTGTGCATATGGGCACACATAATCAACAACTACATGATTTTTCAAAAGGTTCTAAAAAAAAAAAAGTCTAAGGTTTATTGTTGTGCTGAACTAATGATTTGTTTCAAAGAACAAATGCTAAAGTTTTTAGTGGACTCCGGTGTTGTACAGAGAGATAAGGAGTCCCTTGTCCCACCAATTGCCATGTGAAGATGATTTCCTTTCCTTGAGTCTTTTAAGTGTCTGATGTTTCTTGTTGGCATTTGTGGCATTTTGGTTTTGTTTTCAAATGACACCTCTTGCATGTAAAATGAGAAGATATTTGCTTTCTAAAATGGGAAAATGGTGTCTCCTGCCTGGACTCTCTTTTCCATCCTTGGAAATGAAACACATGAATTCTTCCTCACAATCTTCCTTACAGAAAGATCTTCAAGCTCTGTTGTGTACAAACCAGTAGTGTTGATTGTCAGGTGTGTATTGATGGTTTTGTGATGCTATCTCCCAGTCCCCGAATCTGCTGTCCCCAGACTGACAAGTGCAGGTCACCACACTCAGCATTTTCCCTTGAGTCCTGGGAATCAAGCTCAGATCCTTTTGTTTTCAAGGCAGGTGCTTTACCTACTGAGCTAGCTCCCTAGTTCTGGAGTCACAGTGCTCTGTTCCCCCTGCCCTCCATAGCCCATTGAATTTTGATTTTTTTTTCTAAAAATATGCTTATCTATATTCATATTTGGGGAGTTCTCAACATTTTTTGCAGTTAGGTTTGAGCTGTTTTTTCTCAGCATCCTGGCTGTAAAGTGAGCCTTGCCGCGCCTGCTGTGTGCGCCTGCGTCCTGCAGGCTGTTCACTTCTTCACTTTGCCATTTTCTTCTCAAGATGGCAGGTTTAGCTAACCAGTCTCTGTTATGCTACCGCTGAACCTCTCCAGCACATGAACTGCAGCAAGACTTAATGTGTTTTTGTTGGCTGAGTTTGTTTTTCATAAAAGAAGAAAATCATCATAGTCTTGTGTGTGCCTGTATCTGTGTGCTGTCTTGTTGTGCTCATCTCAGTGGTATTCACCCTGAAACTAATGTAGACATGGACTGACAACCCTTTGTAATGCTGACAGCAGGGAAGTAAGGCCTAGTAATTATTTCTTTCTATACCTGTCCTTAATAGAATGCTGGCCACATGCCACCATTAAATTTAAATTGAGTGGTTAAATTGCATGTAAACAGCATGATTAGTCCTGTAATTGAGTAGTTCTTTGCATGTAAAAAGCAAATGAACTTAGGGCTGGGTGCCTTTAATCCCAGCTCTTTGGAGGCAGAGACAGGTGGATCTCCTTGGAGGGTAGCCAGAGCTACATAATAAACAAAACAAACCTTGTAGTTAGTTTCTGATTTACAGAATGGGAATGCTTTGGAGGGCGTTTGCAGTATAAATAGCTAGCAATGTTGTACTTATACTTCAATAGTTAAGTTGGTAAAAAGATTGTTGCTATGGTGTTGGGATAGAACAAGGCTTTATACATCTGCCAGGCCTTTGTTAGCAATTTATTAAGATGTGGCAAAGTTGGTTCAAACACCAAGCTAAGGAAAGTCTGAATATTGACCTGTGGTTCTTAGGAACTTGGACAGTGGACGAGGGTCAGTGTGCACAGGGAGTGCTGTGTAATCCTTGGGGGACAGAATCCTTGTGATGGTTCTGATGTATGCTATCCTTTCTTTCTGTACTGCAGTGTCAGGTGTTAAAATGTGAGGGCCTTGAATGTGCTAGGCAGTTGTCTGTCCTACCACTGAGTTCAAGCTGCAGTCCCGTGATTTCTTTGGAAGTCATCGTAAAGGGAGAGCTGTCAAAACCATCAATAATGCTTGAAATGATACTTCATTGACCTAGCCCTAGCCCTCTATGCATTTGATGTTATGAAGCCAGGTCAAAGAATGTTTCCACATTCTGGCAGGGTGGCTCAGTGGGTGAAGGCATTCACTGCCAAGCCTGGTGACCAGAGTTCCATTTCCAGGATCCACATGGAGGAGGGAGAGAACCAACTCCTGATCCCCACATGCAGAAGTGAGACATGAGCACATGCTGGGGGAGCACCCACACCCTAGAGTAAAGAAACATAATTTTAAAACTAGGAAAAGCATGTTTTGAACCTGAAAGATAGATTAGTGCTTAAGGTCACATTCTCTTGCATAATACCCATGCACATATCACACACACACATTCACATAATGAAAAATAAATATTAAAAAGTATGGTTTTGTGAAGTATTTGTATAAGTTTTAGTAAAACACAGTAGTAGTGGGTTAGAAAGTCCATCAAGAAATGTGATGAATTCGTCTTGTAGTGTAGGGAGGAGATAAGGATATGGAGGTATCTGCTCCTTACACTGCTTAGAGCCCAACAGGACAAATGCCTAATGAGAGAGCTATTGGCAGAATTCCTAACTCCGCACCACTGATGAGCAGCACATGCCGCTGAGGGCACAGTAGCTGACGTTGTAACAGAACAATTTGTGTGCCTGCACCAGACACTGCAGTGTGTGTGTGTGTGTGTGTGTGTGTGTGTGTGTGTGTAAGAGAGAGAAAGAGAGGGAGAGAGAGAACCAGCCACTGTTGTGTGTGTATGTGTATATGTACTTGTTGAGACACTATGCTCTCTATGTGTTTGTTAGAGCAGATGCTTAAGCCAGAGGAAATAAAATTCTTGGTGGTATAATGTTATAATAGTTTGGGAGCATTGTACTCTGATAGTACATTGGGAGCAGCATTGACAGTACCTCTGGTTAGATATGTGCTGTTACTGCTAAATAGAAAAGCTTTGTCCCTGGGTGCTAATTTGTGTTCTTTCCCATTGGCTATGTGTGTCCTTCCATTGGCTATTGTTGACCAATGTGTTGAAGACATTACTAAACTTTTGACTTGTTGGTCACTATGGCTGTCAGGCATATTTCCAGCATGGTCCATGAAAGAGCAGTGGGTTCCTTTTCCATTGTACAGCATGCTCTGAAGAATCTGAGGTTGAGCAAGAGAACATTTCTACATGTTCATACATGTAGAAATTTGCATGTAGAAATACATGTAGGGTTTGCTCTTTAGTCCAGGCTAGCCTCAGACTCCCATTTGTTGCACCTATACCCTCAAATACCAGGGTTTGAGATGTTTGCTTTTATTCTATATTTTTAAACTAGTTCCAAATGTTTGAAGAAATACTTTTGATCTCTGTTAATCTGAAATTGCTAAGAAGTCCACATACTCTTTGAAAAGTTGATGTGGTCAAGCCTTTCAGGGCAGTACATGATGAAAATATTTTTGGTAAGATAAATGGTAACCTTGAATCAGCTGGTTTAGTTTCATCTAATTATTAACTATGTGTAATAATCATGTAATAAATAATAGGTAACTGCTTTGTTGTTCGATTTGTGGCTAGAATTAATAGAATTTGAGTAAGGAAAGAACTCAAGGTGGTGCTTGGCCTTCTGTCTGCTGGGGAACTGGCTGTGGAATGAATCACTGTTGAATCATTGCCCACCAGCCTCTGGCCTCCACATCTATAGGCCCCTCCCCCGCAACAGTGCAAACCACTACTGTGAATTTCAAAAATTGTGTTGGATTTGAGTTGCTGTGTCATGCATATTTTTTTTAAATGTTTTTTGCCATTCTCTGACAGACCCCTTATCCCTCTGGACAGAATGCAGGTCCAACCACATTGGTCTACCCTCAAGCCCCTCAGACAATGAATTCACAGCCTCAGACCCGGTCTCCGGTAAGTGTGCAGCAGCTGCTCGCTCCTCTGTAGCCGCTGTGATCTCTTAGGAAATCCTCTCTGTGTTGGGATAACATAGCACCATGTCGTCATCACCACTGCCACTACACGTCAGTGCTGGGACTGGGCAGCATTTGCATTTGCAACAACTCAGATGCACTGGTAGCTTACATTCTTAGGGAGGAGAGGGTGGAGCTGTGTGTCCCAGGAGCTTCCTTTTGCACAATCCAATACATTGAGGTTTCTCTCCTTTAAGTCCTTCACTTTTATTTGTACTGTTCAAAATTTAGAAGAGTGAATCATGATGTTAGGAGCAAATTGGGTTTTATTGGTTTGCCTCAGACTTGAGTGCTGTGGGAAGTAGGGTTTCTGAACACGTGTCACCAGATCGCTCTAACCATTTGACAGTATGATCACGTGCATGATATCCACCCAGGTGTATTCATTTCTTCAGTGGTCAATTAATTGTCATACAGATGTAAATGCAGTCATCCTCCTTGTTCACCCCTCATGTGGATTGCACCACTTACTAAGATGGACTCCAGGTCATCCTCCTGTTTCACAGTGCACAGTGGCTTCAGCTGTCCAACTGTTAGCGTCGTTTCCTTCCCTGCATGAGTAGCTTTGGGCAGAAGGTGTCTATAACATCTCATTGTACCCCACATCCCTCTTTGTACTTGAGCTCTGTGTATTCTTGGAATACAGGGATCTTCTTTTTGCACCCAAACCCTGCTTTTTTGCTTGTAGCATAGGAAGGTCATTGCATTAGCTCCTGCTCATTTGATTTCATGCATGAGTTTTGAATTGTTGAAATGTTCTGGAGACTTGCTTAAAGAACTAGGAGAGTCTAGACTGCACACAGCAGCCTGTCTTTCTCACCTCTTCCTGCCTTCCTTTCCCTTGGTGCCTTCTCCAACACCTGTTCTTAGATCCTGGCCATCCCCAGAGGTCAGAGGAACCGTTTCTAGAGTTGTGGGACTTCAATCCTTGTTGCCTGCTTGCTTGTCTCCTTTTTCACTGAAATAGTGAACCCAATGTCTGGTGCAAGTCTTGTTCTGAGAGTGGTTTGGGGATGTGGATACTTGATTATTGGAGTGGGCCTGAGATCTTTCCAGATCATTTCCATAGACCCTGATTCTGATTGTTAAGCATGAACTGTTACGGGAAGCTCTTACTGCAGAGCACTCTGTGGCCCTCTCCCCGACCCCATTTTAATGAGTGGGGAAGACAATCCGAGAGAAATTACATGGTTAGAGCTTGGCGCAAAACCTGACTGAAGAGCTGCATCTCTAAACCAGTTTTCTTGACAGCCCAGCAGAACAGTGCCAATACATTGCACAGACAACTGGAAGAGGAGGAAGGTTTTGGAACAGACTCCCGTTTACAGGTCCTTGGCTGGAAGAGGCTGGATAAAATACTGCATTGTAAGCAATATAACAAACTGTACTTCTTGCAGGCAGCAGTGCTTCTGGCACACATTATTTCTGACCACACCCACATATTGGCTGATGAACAGAAATGCATTGATCACGTCTTCTCTGGAAGTCCAGTCTGGCATACTAGTTTCTGCCAGGCACAGTGGGAAAACCATAACAAATTGGGTGGGTCCTCTATTGGAAACCAGACAGGAATAATTTGGGTCTTAGGGTTTTTTCCCCCCTCTTATTTTAAATGTGAAATGGAGTATCTCTTTCTGATTTGAATCTGAAAGGTAATTTGAACCTAAAAGAAATTTCAAGGCTTCTTGTCTACCCTTTATATTTTATAATTGATTAACAAGGGGCAATTGTCTGCAGTTATCAGCCATTTTTCCCCCTGTGGTCATAAACTCTTCAGATGCCATCTTTTCTGCAATTTTTTTGCCATTTCCTCTTGTAGTGACCGCTACCACCCACATTACCAAAACCCACACGTAACACATTCCATTACATGGCCCAAAGCAAGTGCAAGACTAGCAGAGCTCAGACTATTCTTGCTTATTGTTTTGGGTCTGATATCTTTTATTTCTTTTGTGTTGGTGCTGGGAGGGCAGGATTGCATTTTCTGTTTCCATCTCAAGTTGCCATGGTCTAGTGTCATCCATCCTCCAACTGCTTGGACTGGCAAGGAGAGGCGTGGGGTTGTGCTGAGGGGCCATGCAGCTTGTTGAGCAAGGACAATTTATTCCATTCTACTTCTGCTTTAATAGGCCACTGGCAATGCATAGTATAGCCTTTTCATTCTTCTATGGACATCTGCTTTTTCAATCCTACTGGCTCCGAGTGCCCTTTCCATCCTTCAGATTCTCTTTCTGTCTATATGGCTAGTTAATACATACTCTCTTAGTTATGTTTATAATATGGAGAATCTTGTTCCACATTTAAAAATGCTGCCCATCTGCCCCACTTTCTTGATGGAGCCCTTCAAATCGCAGTTTATTTTTAAATGGTCTGAGAAAAACCGTGAAGTTATTAGAAGTCTATTTGGAGTGGGGACAATTTGGCTTTTGTAGTAACCTGTATCTGTTCCATTGGCCATACTCAGTTACCAACTGTGCACAGCAGGCTGAGGGGGTGGGTCAATGGCACTAGCACTGGATTCCAGTTCACATCAGGCTGCTTTCCTTTATATTTATAATCCTTGCCATCTCAAAGTTCTGCCTTTTAAGAGAAAAGTTTCTATTTTTAACATGGGTCAGCAGCGACTACAGTTTGTTCTGTTGCTTACAGCCATCCATAGGGTCAGACTGGTAACATACCACAGGGATACACCGCAGCCAGTGGATCCCCTAGTCCAGGGGATCTCCAGGGCCTTCATACTGGCTAGATTCTGTTTTTTACACACACACACACATAGGCACACATGCACACACACTTTTAAGATAGTTCTCAACTGGAACTTTGCAGTTGTCTAAAGTTGGATTTTTTTTTTTTTTTTTTTTTATTAGAATCTTGTAATTGGGGCCTCTCTGCAGAACAGTGAGAAGAAGACAGGCACTTCTGTGCTCAGCTCAGTGTCTGAAGTGGCTCTTCTCTTGTTTTCTTCAAATGTGTCACACAGAGATCTCTCCTTTTACCCTCTACTTTCGTAGCATATGGGTAATATTACCTAATCTTAAAACTTGATGCCCATAGTGGATGAATGATCTGTTCTGTTCTCATAAATGAAAAACTGAAAATTTAAAACCTCAATTCCTTTGAAGAGGAGAAATTTCTAGAAGATCCCTTGCTGCCACCTTCCATCATTCTGAAAAGCCGATTTGCCAAATTTGGCAGCTTTTCTCCCACACCCTGAGCAAGTACAGACCATGAAGGCACTTTTGTGAACACTTGCGGCATTGTCGCTTCTGAGATAGGATTTCTTGACTGGAAAGTGTTCAGTAGGCTCCCACACTGGGTCCGTGTGTTCCGTGGCACTGTTGGGCACTTTGAGTACAGGATAGCACAGTTGGGAGTTAGGGAGCTGCCTGTCCTGTTGTAGATGAATGCAGTGCTAAGCAGAGAAGAGTGACCTCAGTCAGGCTGCAGCCTGGCTGCTCTGTGCTTATGGAGGCAGACACTTAGTCCTTACATAATGTAAATAGAACCCTGTGTGCTTTGCATTCAGAACTGCTTTCTAGCATTTTTCTCTTCACTAATAAAGAAGAGATCCTGCAGGAGAGCCAGGGAGGTTTTAGCATCTAGATGTGGTTTGGTATGATGTATTTATTCTGTCTTTCCTTTTTAGTTAGTTAGTTATTATTAGGAGTAAAATTTTGCTCTGAAAAATTATCTAATTCTAGAAGTTTTTTTTTTGTTGTTGTTGTTGTTTTTTTTTTTTTTTTTTTTAATTTTTGACTGAGAGGCCGAATGGAGGTGTTTGTCAACTGCTGGGAACACTGGAGAGGAGAGATTTCCCTTCTCTCATTGCCAGTGTCTACTATACTGGAGGAAGCAGGCCGCACAGTGGGGCTTCCTGTGTGTGCTCCATCTTCTTCCAGCTTGTAATAATGCCATTGTGACTAATCATGTTATAGACCACTGTTCTTTATTGGCTGTTTGCTGTAAAATGCCTACTATTCAGCTTTACTAGTTAATCTCATTTCAACACTCACACACACACACACACACACACACACACACACACACACACACGTACGTCAAGCCTGTGTATCAGACACCCATTAAATTTAAAGAAAGTTTTAGTCTATTTTTCTATATCCATTTACTGTGCTTTTGTAATCTAAAAGCATTTCTTCTGGTGTCCTCAAACTGTATCAAGTTTCATGCTACATATTTGATTTTCATGTTTTAATACAACCACCTAGTGTTTCAAACTACCCTTTGCATCTTTTTTGGGGGGGGGTATTTATTCATACTGTTCCTATGAGGGAGCACCCAGGTGCTAATAGCTTAATGGCTTTTTCCCCAGCTTCTGAATGACAAGATAACTGGGTGGTGGTGTTGATCTGTTGGACCTCGGTGCCTGTCTGTCACTGTCCTGCAGCAAAGCCTTTACTGTTTTGTGTTTTTATTTTTCTCTTGTGGGTTTTAACTTTTATTTTGTTGTATATTGTGTAACTTTGGTTTCTGTTGTGTTTCTGACTCTTTGTGCCTCTCCTTTTGTGTCTGTTCTCCCTTTTCCTCTCAGTTTGCAGCGGGGCCTCGACCTGCCCATCATCAGGTACTGTACCCTTGCCCCTCACTGTCACCCTGACTAATGGGTGGGGCTAAGTAACTGCTGACCCTTAGAATGCTGCCACCCCGTGTCTCCACCATAATGACTCTTCCAAGAGCAGTCTGTCTGGTCAGATTCAGTTGGCTTTGCTTTTCATTAGTCTCACCATATTTTGTTTTTAACAAGCCCATTTGCCTATGTTTATAACAAGGTTTAAAACTTTTTTTTTTCTTGAAAAGATTACTTTGAATTTAGACAACTGTGCAATATTAGGTATATCAAGTCCTCACAGATTTTAATAAATTTAACCTAACGGAGTAGGCAACATTCTAAGGGTTCCTGTTAACAATCTGGTATAACTGCTACTGATGTATAGAGCAGCATTAGTATTTCTAAAGCCACTTGTGAATTACTAACTTAGACCTCGTAATAAACTGTTTAACAACAAGGTGCATCTATTTGCTGCATAGAACTCTTCATACACTTAATCTGAATGGTTTAGACTACTAATTCTATAAGATGAGAATGCTATAGAAATTAAAGTTTAAAAGCAGGTGTGTAGTAAAGGTGACCTGATAAAGGAGTTGTCTCTTCCCTCCCTCTCCAGCACTTACTTCATGGAGTGTTTTGAGACATTTTCTCATTGGTGTAGTTGGAAGAACCAAGGTTAGGGTTTAACACAGTGGGTTCCTATTTGCCAGCTCTGCTGCATGGCACCAGCTACATCCACTAGGCAAGCCTATTTCTGAGCCTCAGCGCCAGTACCCTCGTCAGGAGGTGTGGGGAATGCGCAGTCAGTCAATGCTGGCTGCTTTTAATGATGTTTTTAATCAGTTGAGAAACCCGGGGTGGACCCTTCCTACATTAACCCATGATACTATGTTTAGAATTTTTATCACTAGAAGGGTATTGCCTCACTTAAAATCTTTCATTGTATTGAGTGATTTTATACAAAGCTCTGTTTCTTAAAATGTAGTCTTAACTATTTGGAAGAGGCAAGACCACCAAATTCTGAGGTGTTCCAAGCATAGATGTGGCATGGATGGCTATTCTTTGGCTTATCTGGGGGTGGGATAACTTGGGTCTTTTTTCAGCTTGAAGATACACTACTGCAAAGGCTTTGGAATGTTGGCACTAGCCAGATGTGGACATAGGTCTCATTCCCCTTGTTAACTGAGTGTTCTGGACAAGTTTCTCACTGCCCTCAGCCTCAGTCTTCTCATCTCTAAGATGAGGATGATGCTTCATGAAGAAAGAATGTTAGCAATAATAGGATATGCAAATGGTCAGGATGCTTTGGAACATGTGCTTGCTCCGGTTAAAAAATGTAGACCCTTTAGGAATTTTACAATTAATGCAATGTAACTGTTTTAAAATTTATTTTAATATATATGAGTGTTTTGCCTGCATGTATGGCTGCAACATGTGTGTACTCTTCCTCTTGGAGGCCAGATGAAGTTATTGGATCCCCTGAAGCTGGAGTTACAGATGGTTGTGAGCTACCATGTGGGTGCTGGGAATCGAGTCTGAGTCCTTTCAAGAGCAGCCAGTGCTCTTAACCACTGAGCCATCCCTCAAGCGCCAGGATTAATTGAAATTTTAAGAATTTATTCACTTCTGCGGGATGAAACCTGATACTCATAAGAGAGGCACTAGGGGCATCCATGCCAAGAAGCAAAGTGAAAAGAAGTGGGGTTTTGTGACTTAAGTAGAGAGAAGGAAAACATCCTTTGAATTCCTTGGTAAGGGGCACTGTTGAGTTTCTTCACTCACCTTTGTGTTTCTTAAACATTGGTTTTTCTCAGGGAAGACCGCCAGTAGCAGTAATTAGGATTGCCTTTGGCCGCTCTTCTCCTCTTCTTTTGGTAGGTGGTGCGAAGTACAGATTACTGACATGAGGGTAATTCTGAAACCAGAGCAATGTTACTAGTATCAGCCCCACTTATTAGAGTGACAGTCTCTGCAGGATGGTTAATCTGAAAACCTTTCTGTTGCTGATGTGTGGAGCAGAAATGGAAAGGCTTTGTGTTTCTGCTACCTGGGATTAGCTGCAGTGGTCCTGAAGTTGGATGCTGCATTAAGACACTTAACAAACAGTTGACTCTGAGCAATCATTTTCCAAACTTTCTCACAAGGTACGTGACGTACTTTCAGAAATTTTTGTGAGATAAGATTGACTTTAGTAGCCATGCCCCTTGTGTAGTACATCATAGGGAAGTGTTACTGGTCATTGGACTTTCTTCCTGTTATAATGCTTGCTTTACAAGAGTCAGATTTTTTAAAAATTGCTTTAAAAAAGAGATGAAATTCTCAAAGAATAAATAAAACTTTATTTACAAGATGAGCAACCCACTAAAACATTCTGCTACTAAATAAAGTATCATACACATACTGCATTCATTAGCAAGAAAGGTTATTTTGCTTGCTTTGGTCAGACGGGGTATGGGGGAGCTACCTCAGGCTGGCTTGGAGCCTACTATGTAGCTGAGAATGACCTTTTCTTTGTTTTTTTCAGTTACTATTATTTGTGGATGTGTGCCATAGTGCATGTGTGAGTTCAGAGGAAGGACACTTTATGTAGACAGATGTTTCATTCCACCCCTGTGTGCATTTGAGGGATCAAACTCAGATTTCTAGGCTTGTACTCACTGCAGACCCTTTCTTTACCTGCTGAGCCAGCTCACCAGCCCATGATTTAAACTTCTGATCCTCCTGCCTATTCCTTTCCAGTGCTGGGATTATAAGCAGGTGCCCCACACCTGGTCTGTATGGTGCCTAGGCTTGAACCCATGCTAAACTATATCTTTAGCTTCAAGGAAAATATTTTCTCGTGGTCGTTTTTGGAGACGAGTTCCTGGGATGCAGTGTAGAAACCTAGAGCATTACTTTCGAATACAGAAAATTCAGGTGCCTGCTCTTCCTAGTCCAGAAGGCTTTTCGATTCTTCTCATTGTACCTCATTGAAGTCAGTGAAGAAGGAACTCTAAGCCAGGCAAAGTGGTGTAGACCGAGGCAGGAGAACTGTAGAGTCAAAGCCTGCCTGATGAGGCTGTAAACGGAACGTTGGAGAGTCCCCTTAGCTCCAGCAGCAGCAGCAGTTGTTACTATGGAGAGGTGGAGGGACTGAAGCACCACTTGCAGCAGGAAGTGCCTGTACCAGTGTTGGGATGGTGTACATGGTGTACATGTACAGTTTGCTGTACAGGAACAGTTTGCTATCTTGCCTCCATAGGAAAGAGGGGGCACGATTCAGTCTTTTACTGTAGAGAATACGTGTGGTGTAATCCTTGGTTTAGCAATCTTTGGCCTCCAACTGCTAGTCAGTGACAAGTAGAGAGTAAACAACCCACCCCACTTGTTCTGGACACTCTGGTGAAGACGGTGCCATTTCCCCTTTGGGACTTGATGAGACTGTGTGTCCCTTCACCTCATGGAGAAAGGCAGCCAGAGACATAGCTTTACAGAGTCAAACAAAATAGGTCATAGACAGCCACATAGTGAAAGCTATTCAGGGACAGAGTCCATAAATACACATTCAAAAGGAAAGCATGTGTCCACCTTTGTCCTTGGAGCTTGTACGCTTGTTGTACCTCAGGCTGAAGTGGAAGCCACAAATGACTTTTCACCTGTGGTTGTTTGCTTTGGCCAGGTGAGATTCAAACAAAAATGAGAAGAATCAGCTTCAGGGCCGGGGACAGTTGTGCTCATCTCTGATCCTAGCACTTGGGAGGCAGGTGTGGCCAGACAGACCTCTGTGAGTTTGAGGCCAGCCTGGTCTACATATTCCAGGATAGCCAGGGCTACAACCCCCCCCCCCCAAAAAAAAATTAGCCTTTGATTTGGATAAATGTTAGAAGGCTGAGGCAAGTGGAATCTTTAACTCAAAAGTCCCCCATGTCACCCACCCCAAGGGTCTTGAGGTAGCTGTTAGATTTGTCTGTCTTTCATTAGTGGTTGCTTTCTTGTCATCTGTATCCTTTCGTGTTTTATAAAGAAATCCACATTGGAGAATATTCTGTATGATTGTGTAAGTATATACCTTGCTGTGGCTTGGTAAGTGTTCCAGTAGACAAGGAAATTAGTTATCGTTTGAAGACTATTTGGAGAGATCCTTGTGAAAAGAAAACTTTGCCTCATGTAGTTAGAAACTCTACTTTTTCCTATGGAAACTGAAGTTCTGTGAATTACAGAAAAATCCCAGGATTTTAAACATTGAATATTTTGTTTGTTCTTAATAGAGTCAAGAAACAGCTGTGGAATCTGCTTCTTGGAATTTGCTTTTGTTTACAAGGTCCTTAACTGTACTTGGCAAGCTAGAGTTAGCTTTGCAGCCCTGTCAGGAGAACCATGACCCCGTGAGGCCTGAAGCAGTCTCCATACTGTTGAATCTTGACATTTGCAGGGCTTCTTTTGGCATGGGGTTTTCTTTTCTTTTTGTGGTTTTTCGAGATAGGGTTTCCTTGTGGTTTTGGAGCCTGTCCTGGAACTAGCTCTTGTAGATCAGGTTAGTCTCAAACTCATAGAGATTCTCCTGCCTCTGCTCTGCCTCTGCCTCTGCCTCCCGGGTACTAGGATTAAAGGCATGTGTCACCACTGCCCAGCTTTCATTTTGTAACTGTAGAACTTTTAGCATTACACTTTCCTTCCAAGGGAGAAGCAGATGTCTGCAGAGCCATTTTAGAAAGATGTGAGCCATCTCTTCTTCTTGCAGATCTTCCTGATAGTCCTCGGGCCCATTCTCTTCCACCTGATGCAGCCCTCTGTGGCAGCACTGTAATAGAACTATCTGTGGTGATGGGCATTTAACTCTTCACTCCCCTCACCTTTGTAATCCCCTGACTGCAAATGGTACCAATCACTTGAAATGTGATGGCAGTTTATTTTGTTTTTTGGTGTTTTACCTGCATTTTTGTCTGTGTGAAGGTGTTAGGTCTCTTGGAACTGGACTCAGACAGTCGTGAGCTGCCATGTGGGTGCTGGGAACTGAACCCAAGTCCTCTGGAAGAGCAGCCAGTGTTCTCAACCACAGAGCCATCTATCCAGCCCTTAACTGTAGTTTTTAACAGATAAACAGCAAATGAGTGGATAGATGAATGCAGACTGAATACTTTGGAGCCAGTAAAAAAGAAAGACATACAATGTCTGACACTTAAGTACAAAACAGTTACATGTTTCATTGCCCAAGTTCTTTATATTTCTTTTAATAACTGGTAGTTTATTGCTATGCCCACTCATCTGAAAAATAATGTGCATTTCCCATACCACTAGTAAATAGAAGTCATATAACATTAAATGGTTAGGAAGGGGCATAAAAAACTAACTCAGCCCTTATTTTGTTTTTTCTGGTACCACAGCTTTTGTAGTTCTATTCATATGTGTGTGTGTGTATGTGTGTGTGTGTGTGTGTGTGTGTGTGTGTGTGTGTGTGTGTGTGTAAGAGGAACAGATAAGCTCTCAATAGCCTGTCATTGTACATTGTTAAGCAGTGGAGTGGTATGTCTTTCCGAAGACATGGGAGGTGTGGACATGGACATAAACAAATAAAGGGAATGATTATTCTGGAGGATAGGAAAAAGGTATTGTCTTGAATAGGAGACAGTGATTTTGTGAAGTAATCAATGGCTTTTTCTGCTTAGTCAGATATGATTAGGGAAGTGCTGCACTTGAGTGTACTGGATCAAGGTCCCAAGTCAGTCCCCTCTGACTTTGAAATGAATAAATTTCTTATCATTTTTTTATCTCATGAGAGGTACTCTGTTACAGCTAACAGTCCTGACCTAGATCCCAACTGCTTAAACTACAGATGAGGAACCCCAGCCCTCTAGAAACACTCTGCTTCTGTGTGGATCTGTGGTGTCCGCAGTAACACACATGCTTTAGAGATAAGCAGCAAGGGTGAGATGGTGTTATGTAAACGCTTTGGGACGTGTTTGATGGTTTGATGGTTCCTTAATGCTAGATTGAGCTTGCTTGTTGTCACTTAATGTGTATGTAACAATATGTTTTTACTCAGTTTCAAAGTTGCAATAATAATGTCTCATCAACATAACTACCCATTTTGTGTTGTGTTGGTTTGGATATGTTTACATCAGGAGTTTTGCTAGAAGCATTCAGATTCAACATGACTGAAGAAAATGCATTATTCAGAAACCCTTTTGATTAAGGTAATCTCAGTTACTTCTTTGTTTAAGCTGGTTAAGAATCCCATCAGAGTAGTTGGGATACTGGTAAGAAAAGTGCTCATGTATAGGATGTAGGAGGACTTGCCCTCTCAGCTGCTTTCCATACACTTATAAGTGAGCCACGTCCTTTCTTGTCTTCTCTCCTTGCGGTCCCATTACACAACCCTCTAGGGGAGGTGTGAGTGGCTAATGTCAGTAGATGAGCTAGCAGAGGAGGTAGTGCCTCTGGGTTTATTGCTCTTCTTGTCTTGACTGCCTCTGGAGTTGATGGAAAGGGGTTTCACAGAGCATGGATCTCTCCATCCTTCCCACATCCTGCAGTGTCAGTTGAGCAGGTGGATGACTATCCCCTCCTTAAAGCCAGTGACACTTTCCTGCCTCCTGATATGTTGTCAGTGGAATGGAAATGCTGAAGTTTATTCTAAACATGTATTTACAACACACACATAAGTGCGAATGTGTTTGCTGGCCATAGAAGGGGGATTGCCATTTCAACCTTCTTGTTTGCAGCCAACACAAGTGGTGCTGTTGGTGGAGGTAGAGCATCAGGAGGCTTCTGTTACAACTTTGTCACTCATCCCCCAAGTTCCCCCGTCCCCCCAGGATATCACCTGTGCCTCTTGTGCTTCTTTTCTTCCCCATCATCTCCCCTTTGGCTCCCCGTTGAAGTCCGCAGTCACTCCATTCTCCTGCCTCTGCTTTCTGTCTACTGCTTCACCTCTTTAGGGCTTGCCCTGTATGAAGGTTGAATGGAAGTGAGGCTGGGCCCAAGCTTACAGTTTCCCCACTTCAGCACAACGTGAAAAGTTACTCAGACACCTGGAATATCTTGATGTCTATTAACATCAGGGTGGGAAAAGACCTGAGAGGACCAGAGCTCAAAAGCAATGCTCAGTCTAGAGTCAGGACGCAGATCAGGGCTTTCAGAGCTCCACTCATTTTTTTTTTTTTTTTTTTTTTTTTTTTTTTTTTTCAGCGTGGTATTAGAGCTCTGAGTTAGAGCTGTATGTAGAATTTTTTTTATGCCCTATTTAAGATAGGAAGTAGATAGTGGAGAAACAATCCAAAGTCATACAGTTGGTCATTTAAGAGCCAAAATTAAGAGTCAGTAGTCTCAGCTGTACTTCAGCTCCCAAGCACTTTCTTTTAAGCTGTTAAATAACCAGAAGCTGCTTCAAGGATTTTTCACTGGATTCATTTTTTTTTTTAAATTTTTCAACTAAATAATTAGAACATAGATTTCATGTGTACTAGAGTCCTCAAGTGGAGAATTGTCATTCCGATTTTCTAGTGTTCATTCTTCCCCTGAAATTATTGAGCAGAGAGCTGTTTTTGTTGAGCTGCATGCTATATCCTGCTCTTCCTACTGATCTATAAGCTTCTCCATTGGCTTTCTTTCTGTTTCCTGCTGCTGCTTGCTTCATCATTGAAGGGAGGATTCAGACCCATCCAGGTAACAAGCTATAGATTCTGCATGGCCTCTTTACTACTCTGTTTTCTTGTTATTTTACAATGCGGTTGCTATAGTCATACTGGAAATGCAGTATAGGGAGACAGCTTTAAGCAGCAAGAACTGTGTGTAACTACAGTGATGGCTGCCACTGGGAGGGTGTTGAGTGGTGCCCGTTTTAGGCCATTATGAAGCTTATCTAGATTATATTGCAAAATTTTTTTGAGAAAACAAAGTCGGGCTCAGTTTAGAGTGGGATTGTATCACAATTTTGACCGGCTTCTTTCTGTGTGGGACAGCTTTACAGCTGGTTTTAATTTGTTTTGATGGACTTGAATGAAAATGCTTGCATCTGTGGAGATTCTTGCTCTCCTATATACCCTACTAATAGCTGGTGGGATTGTTTTAGGTTGACTACTTCTGCTATTTTATGTCTTGGTATTGAGCCACTCTCTTCCTCTCTTTATTCAGAAGTCACTGCTGCTTATAAAATAGAACATTCAGAGAAATACTAGTTACTTTTGTTGTTTTTATTGTTGATGTTAAAATTAATAATTATGGCGCATGGCTTATACTTTTGAGTAGATGGTACTGCAGCATTGAGACTGCCCTGCTGTCCTGTTGTCTGGAGACTTGAATTAGAAGCTGATTCAGTGTGGAGTATAGTTTATGAACTTAGTTATTAGACAATCTACTGCCTTTTGCATATTATCTCTAAGTAGAACAGTTTAGTAGTGGGAGGGAAGGGGAAAAGTCAAGACATTCCATCTATATATTACCCTTTGTGAAAAACCAAACATCTTTTTCTCCTTCTCCCAGTTTTTCCAGAGGCCTCAAATCCAGCCTCCCAGAGCCACCATCCCAAACAGCAGTCCTTCCATTCGTCCTGGTGCACAGACTCCCACTGCCGTGTATCAGGCCAATCAGCACATCATGATGGTTAACCATCTGCCGATGCCGTACCCTGTGCCCCAGGGGCCTCAGTACTGTATACCACAGGTAAAGGGAGAACCTGGGTCCCAGTGGGGGTCTGGTGGGGGTAGTCATCGATAGCCTGGATTTTAGTGGCCTGTGAGCCTTTTAATTGATTGCAAGTCTAGCCATTTTTGTCAACTTTCATAAAACTATACAGAGATTCTTACACAATTTTGCAAGTTGATGGAGAAATTATTTCCCAATATCATCTTTCCTGTGGTGCCATGTCATGCCATTGAAAACTGCCAGCCTGAAATCACTTTGCAGTGAGCCTGGCTGCTGTACACTGGTGTATGGGTTCAGCCAGGGAAGATCACTCACTCTCTTCATCGTCACTGTCTCTCATGGGCAAGCAAACATTTGAGGCTGTTTAACAGCCTCACCTTTACATCCTCTAGACAGTCTGTGGGCACAATGCTTTATCTTCCAGAAGCGCCCTCTGTATCATCTGCAAATGTGTGTTCTCTTCTAGTACCGCCACAGCGGCCCTCCGTATGTGGGCCCCCCACAGCAGTATCCGGTTCAGCCACCGGGGCCGGGGCCTTTTTATCCTGGACCAGGACCTGGGGACTTCGCTAATGCTTATGGTGAGTAAAAAGCCAAGCCATTCCCGCTCATTTGTCACACTCCTTTAACTCTGTGCTGGGTCACATTAGTTATTGCCTCAGAGGTTTAAAGGATTTTTTTTGTTTGTTTGTTTGAAGGATTTTTAAATAACAACTTATGAACAGTTTTGTCTGGAGAACTTCTTTAGGGAGTGGCTTCCATGGGAAATTATTATAGAAATATACGTAGCTGGTAACACCTGAAGGTCAGGCTGGTCATCCTGTTCAATCCATGTGGCAGGTTTCTGGCATCTCTCACCAAGCGATGGTCATACACATTTTTATTATGTTTTGTTGATGTTATAAATTTGCTTCCTGTCCTTGACCCCCCCCCCCAAGCTTTTTTCCTCAACCCACTTTATCCCCTCATTTTAATGTCCATGAATCAGTTTGCTCTGTTTTCTGCCATAGCCCAAGCTCCTAGAACAGTGAGTGGGCTACTCTGGAGAGTTAGGCAGGAGCAGTGTGTTTCCTTGCCTGCACATCAGAGCTGTTGTCCTGCAGAAGTTCTGATGACTGGTGGAGTTTGAAATCTTAAAAGATGCTTTGGTGGGGAAAGGAGATGGGGAGACAGGTTCTCTCAGTGGGTAGCTTGGGCTGTCCTTGAACTCAGAATCCTCCTGCCTCAGCTTTAAAGGTGTTCATAGTGCACAGATGCAAATGCTAACTAATACTTGGCGTGTGAGTTTATAGGGAACTTTGAAGTCATGCGGAGTAGTTGTTTAACACACTTCCTGTATATGGTACTTGTCTCAGTCCACAGAAACTGAACTGTAAGGAGTAAAATCAGTGGATACTAGGAAAATGAAGCTTTAGGATCTGGTCAGCAGTGGTCTTGTCTAATAATATCACAGCAAAGACATTGAAGCTTCAACTACTTAACACAGTAATCCACTCACTGAGTTCCACTGTCGGGGTTTAGTGGCATTGTGTTGTCTTTATGGTTACTTGTACTAGGGTAACTCAGGCTTTTTTGGTGGTGACAGTCTTAGAGTATTAAACCTTTCCATTTCATGAGTCAGTATTTCCTCGTGGTACTGTTTAAAAATGATTTATCATATAATCTATAAAATCTTAAAACCTCAACAACAGCTTTCTCAAGTATATAGATCAGCTATGTTAACTTATATTCTTACAATAAATATTGTCATCCAAAATCTTCTAATTAGAAAATCTGAGTTTTCAGAGTAAATAGGCCAAATTTAACACTCCTTTAATTTCATGTTGGGAAGGAATTGTGTTCTGATTGACAGAACTGTTTTCAGTACTGTTGCTCTTAGTATGACTCTTGCATCATATATAGGAACTAGGACAGAAGCAATGTAGCTTTCAGTTTACCATATTAAATACTGACTTTTTTAGCTGGGTGGTCATGGTGGCACACCTCTAATCCCAGCACTCAGGAGACAGAGGCAATGGATCTCCAAATTCGAGGCCAGCCTAGTGTACAGAATGAGTTCCAGGATAGCCAGGGCTACACAGAGGAAAAACGATCTCTTAAAAAAAAAAAAAAAAAAAAAAAAAAAGGCAAAACAAAACATCAGAACACTTACTTTTCAGGCTGGAGAGATAACTCAGAGGTTAAGAGTACTGGCTGCTCTTCTAGAGGTCCTGAGTTCACTTCCCAGCAACCACAGTGTGGCTCACAACCATCTGTAATGAGACCTGGTGCCCTCTTCTGGCCTGCAGGGATACATGCAGACAGAGCACTGTATACATAATAAATAAATGTTTAAAAAAACCAACTTTTGTTTCTGTTCCAAGTACAGTATATTCATATTTATGAAGCAGCACTTTGTTGATAGGAAGTTTCAACTCAGGTGTAAAAGATTGATATCTGTTCCTTTTGAGGGATCCCTTCCCCACAAATAAATTATTAGGCTTGTCCTATATTTATCACATAGGCAGAACCTCATCTGTTCTAAGTGATCTTATTTCACTATGTAAGTAACCATGACAGTGATGAGAATTCAAAGAACAGAAAGCAGAAAGCTACAGCAGCTCAGGGAAAAAAAAACAAAAAAACAAAAAAACCATGAACAGGGTGCTACTTTCTTTTCCTTTTATTTCAAGTGGGCACTTTTTCCAATATCATAAAATTACTGTGCATTTAGAAGACTCATACTTTTCCCATCTCAATGTGTTCACAGACACATTTCCATTCTCTTTCTCTCTTTTTCTGTGTGTGTGTGTGCACACACTCATGGAGATCACAGGTCAACTTGCAGGAGTGATTCCTTCCTTCCAGTTTGTGGATTCTGGAGATTTGGTGATCAGGCATGTTGACAAGACCCTCTCTCAGCCATCTTGTCCTCCTTCATCACCTTAAAAAAACATAATTATTTGTTTCTTTTAAAAATAGTATAGTCTTATTTTTAGAGTGAGTCCTAAATTACATTTCTACTCACATTCTTTTCATCATTTGGATGAATACTTTTAGCTGTAAAAAAACGTGTTACCAGTTAATGTGATTCATCATGATTCAGAGTTCTGGTCCTTTAGTTGTAGACACTTCACACATCTCCCAGTGTGGCTGTGGAATTCTTTCCCCCTCCTTCATGGAATCTCTTTCTCTTACCTTGCCACTGTGAAATATTTTTCTTTCACTGATCCTGTCCTCTTGGTTATAGATTTCAGAGCGGATGTGTACTAGGGTCCTAGCTCTGTGTTCAAGTCTTGTCTCTCAGGAGCATGTTCTCCCTTAGAGTTACATTCCCACCCTTTTCAGCCAGCATCTTAGTGGCTTGGTTCCAAGGTTATGATTCTCCTTCCTCAGCCTCTAGAAAGGTGTAATTCTTGAACAGTGCTTAAAATTTTGAGGAAAGTGGAGTACTAAACACTCACGCCAACCTTAGGGAGTGATATCCCATGTTGACAGAAAGTTTAGATTCTTAAGGGTATGGTTAGTGGAGTGGTAGTAGTAATTGATAAAGACGATGAAAGAGAAGTTGCTGTATGTCTGCCTTGCTTCTGCGACTTCGGCCTAGTCTTCCCCTGATCTTGATACAGTTTCCCCTCCTGTGCTTTTTCATTTTCTTCCTGAGCACTTTGGAGCTGTGCTTTTCGTGGGGAAACCGGGCTCCCAATAGGCATTAGTTCTGTTCTCCAGCAAGAAGTCCTGAATTTTATGATGTTGATGTATAGAGACATAACTGTATATTAAGAGGTAATACTATTTTTCTTTTTCAGTTGTGCCAAACTAGATATTTAATCACTACATTATCTCCATTACTATAAGGCCAGTGAAATTTTTCTAGTTTTTTTTTTTTTTTTTTTTCCAGGATTGTGATGTGTTAGGTATTTTGAAGAATGCAGTGGCCAAGATATTTGTGTCTTCCAGCATCTCACAGTACATATACATCAGATTGTTATGCTTAGAACCATAAATATTGAGTATGAGTGGATCAGTAATTCCCAAGTTTGTCTTCCTTCTGTGACCTCTGACAAAGATGTCATCTTGGGCTTCTTTATCTGTGCACATTTTCTGTTTTATCTAGTGTCATGGTTCTGATGTTGTTCATTACAAAAGTCTTTACTAGTTTGGTGGCCTACTCCTTTAATCCCAGTGGCTTGGGAGGCAAGCAGGTGGATCTCAAGGCTAGCTTTGTCTACAGAGAGTTTCAGGACAGCCATGGAGGGGTACATAGAGAAACTAGTCTTGAAAAAACAAACAAAAAAAGCCTTTACTGATTACAAAATTATTAGCTCTAGAGACCGAGGATGCAGCTCAGTTGGTAGAATGCCTGCTTAATATGCACAAAGCCCTAAATTCTGCCACCACTCCACATAAACCAGGTGTCATGATGCAGTCTTCTGATTAGGATTGTGGAGACAGGAAAATTGGAAGTTCAAGGTCTGTCTTCACTACCTAGGAAGGCATACATAGGGTAACTAGATCATGCCTGTCTCAGGACTAGTGATCATCTCAAACATCTCCATATTTGAAATCCTTTTGTTCCTGGTCCTTCCTTTCATGTTCCATGTTTTGCTTATTAGTTTCTCTGTTTTTGCCCTCAGGCAGAGTAAAAATAAAAGGAAAAAAGGAAGAAGGAGGAAAAAAAAAAAAAAGAAGAAATCAAAAAATTTTAACATTTTTTTCTTTTCTATGTATGTTTTCTTCCATACCATTATCTAGTCTTCAACAGCTATTTAGGTTGTACTTTCTAATTTTATACACACACACACACACACACACACACACACACACACACACACACACACGTACCATGATTGATTTGATAGTAATCAGAACAGTATTCTACATTTTGGATATTAACAAACCCTTGTATGTCTAGATGTGAGAAGAAGATAATTTTGGCTGTTGGGCAGTAGAGTCAAAAAGCATGAACAAAGTCTGTCGTTTAACATTGGATGTGACTGTGATCAGTGTGTTTGGGGGATGGGAATAGGATGAGGGGGCAGGCAGAAGGGAGATGTAGCCTTGAGTTTGTACAAAGTGAAGCTTGGCTTGGAACTTGGCTCTTCTTCTTGGAACACATTGTCTTCTCTGCTGTCTTTTGTTAAAGCTCCTTCCTTAAGGGCTTACAGGGAGCCTAACCAGTGGTGTACCTCGGCTGTGGCCCTTCATACTAAAGAATTTGGATCACCTCTATCCCAAACCAAAGGCCCAGAAAGACAGTCACTTGAGTCCTTGTTTGTGAGTCACTTTTGAAGGCTTTCAGCCCCAGAATTCTAAACAGAATTGTAACCCAGTTGTGTTTGACAAAGAATATTCTGGTGTTGCTCTGCAGGAATTGGGCACTGAGCTGTTTTTGTTTAGATTTTTATGAATGTTTAGAGGTATTATGTATGTAGCTGTAGGAGAGAGGTTGAGAATGCTGTACAGATTTATGGTGCCTTGGGCCTATATCCCATGGATCAGGAGGCAGAGGCAGGGGGATCTGACTTGCAGGTCAGCCTGGGCCACAGAGTCCCTGTTTGGAAAGAAGAGGAGTCCTTTGTAGTTTGTTTTCATTTTTCCAAGAGCTTGTTCAGGGGCTCCGCACCATTGCAGGCCTGTAGTGTTTGACAAAATAACTGAATGCTTCTCATTTTGTTCTGATTCCTTAGGAACGCCTTTTTACCCAAGTCAGCCAGTGTATCAGTCAGCACCTATCATAGTGCCTACGCAGCAACAGCCCCCTCCAGCCAAGAGAGAGAAAAAAACTGTAAGAGATCTTCATTGATTTGTCATAAATTGGGACATATAATCTTTTCTCAAATAAGCATATCGGATCACTATTAACTTCAGTTTATAACAGTGACTGCCATTCTTCCTCTCCCCTGTGTCACCACTGCTCACCGCAGTCTAGCGCATTTGTGTGGGCACTTGGCTAGACATTTCATACCGGTTCCCTTAGTGTCACCTTTTCCCAGCTGGGCGTACCGCACGTTTGAGTGCACCCTTGGCTCGTTTCTCAGATCCTGACTCTCCTTTGCCGCAGTGCTGAGCGACAAGTTTGAACTGCCAGAAGGAAACTAGCACCACAGTGAAAGTAGCCAAAATCCTAGAGTGACCAGAAGGAGTGAAAAACTTTGAAAGACGTAATCACAAAGCAGAATTTAGTAAATGTTTTATTTATTTACATTGCATTGTAAAGATGTTACCTCTGTCTGGTAAGACACACTCAAGAGCCCAGGAGCACAGTGACATAAAACTAGAATTGCAGAGTGTTTTGTAGAAGACTGGCTTCCAGTCTTTTACCCTATAGATCATACACAGTAGGCGATGCTGACCGTCAGCAATGCCCACAGTTCCCCAGGTTCTACAGGTGAGAGTAGAGCTGTCTGATGCTCTTGCAGCACTCTTACTTAAAACACATGAAAGGATCCAAGTCTGGTGCTTTGACTAGAAACAAATAACTTTTAAACGTGCCACAGTAAACAGAACATTCCAATTTAGCATGACACTGTAGGCAAGAAATGAGGCTTTATAGTGCTACATCAGTTTGGTAAAGTTCACTGAATAGCATTCTGCAATGCAGAAAGAAATGGTGCTAACAGCAATAGAAGGTAGTGATGATAAATGCCATTAGTAAGAGAAGAGAAAGCTGTGTGTGGCGGCACGCGCTGGGGCGGCTGAGGCAGGAGGATTTACCAAGTTTGAGAGCGACTTGGGCTACATGGTGAGTTCGAGGCCAGCCTGGGCTACATAGAAAGGCGGCTTAAAAAAATAAACAAAAGGGCTGATAATGAGCAGCTACTTCCCTGTAGTCTTCTAGATGGTGTTTGATAGTGACTACTCTGAAGTTTTCAAGAAACCAGTCACCTCAGTAAGCTGAGCAGGCAGTATACTTCAGATGGGAACCTCCTTCCCTCACCTGTCCCAGCTCTGAGGTCTTAGACCCAGGTACCCCATCCTCATTACAGCATCATCCTCTTTGACATCTGTAAGCATGAAGAGCCTTTGAAAGTTCATACGGGAAGCTTGTGCCACTGTGCCGTGTTCCACTTTCTGACTTGGCAGTCCTTCTGCCCCACCCTTCCTAGTGGTACTTCGATAATTTACTGTAAAGATGTAAGATAATACTGAACTGTTCTGTTTTCAGTTGGCCTGAATGACGTGTCTGGGCATTTAATTGCAAAAAATTAGTACAGCTAGCATCCGTACAGATGTGTATTGTGTACAGAACTCACTGTAGACAGCATCCTTATAAAAGTATACAAAGTTAAGGGCAGGTGAAGTCTCATTACTAAGTTATAGTAAATGTATATGTTTTGTCAGTGTACTTCAGAGAACCATTTAGAGTATTTAAAACTTACTCAGGATTTTTGTTATTCTTAAGATAATCTCTGGTTCTCCTTGCTATTAAGAACTATAGTAAAATCAGTGTATTTGGCAATCTTACACAAGCATAGATATTTTACATTTTGACCTAGAAATTTAGTCAGCTCAGTCCTACTTTCCTTGATCTTACATTTAGTTCTTATTTTGGCTCTTTGCCTACATTTTTTTTTTTTTTTGAAATGACCCTATATAGTTCTGTGATTGAAGTACAGTTTGGTGTGGAGATTGACAAATTTGATAGTTAATTCCCTGTGTACCTTTAATTTTTCATCTAAATCTGGTACACAGACACCCAGATTTATACTTAACCATTTTATTTAACTTTGTAGATAAGAATTCGAGATCCAAATCAGGGAGGTAAAGACATAACAGAGGAGATTATGTCTGGAGGTGGCAGCAGAAATCCCACTCCACCCATAGGAAGACCCACTTCCACACCCACTCCTCCTCAGGTAAGTAGAGCGAGCATGGTGGTGGGTGCTGGGCACTTGTTCACTGACCTCTACTGGCTCCTCCTGTAGACACTTTGTGTACTTCCCACTTCTGACCCTTACCCTGTAGCCTGAGTATGGGTAAGGCAGACAGGTTTCTTTTTACAAGTTGCTTGAAGGTGTTATTGGTGATGTTTCTGCGTATCAGATGCACATAGTCTAGTTGCTGCCCCTCTTCCTAGATAACTGTTGCATGATATCCAAAGGAGCTGTGTTCGTGCATTTTCTAAGTTCACTCTAGGACCTGAGGAGGAAATGCTATGGAGTAGGACACTGAGAATTTAAACATTGTAGCAGATTGCAATCTTTAGTTGATTACCTCTGTTAGAGTGAATTTGGAGGGATCACAGGCATTTCTCACTGTTGAAGACCTACACAGATGAGCTTCTTGTATACAGTGTATCAGCTCTAGTTATTTCCAAGAGCTGCACAGAAGTTTTGTTGGGACTGGTGAAGAAATCCAAGCATCCTAGGAGGAACTAGTTTTTAGCAAACTAACTTACAATAAAAAATTGGTTTCCCAAATTTGAAACATTATTTCATTGCTGGGTGACCTTTATATTTGCGCAGTTGCCTAGAGTTCAACAGACAGAAGCAGCGTAGGGGCATGGATTGCTTTTCCTCTGTGGCTGGAAGATGAGCGTCCCCAGAACCAGTGTACAAACAGGTAATACAGACAGAGGACACATCACAATAATGAACCACCAGCTTGAGAATAGTCATAGAGCCTGAAAGAAGTACACATACATATTGAGGATCCTGGTTGCTAGTTCAATTTAGAGCCCGTATAAACCTGTGGACTTGAGTGGGCTTGAAGTGGGCTTTGTGTGTGAAGTGGTGTATTTCACCTGAAAGTGATGACCCTCCCTGGATAATGGCTTGTCCCAGTCCCTGTTACAGAGAAGATGAGAAGAATATGTGGCCACCTAGATAAGAGAGTTTGCTATAGAACTTCTTTTTTTAAAAAAAAAATTGTTCTCCTTGAACATTCCAAGTCTGGATGATTAAGGGTGTTTTTATCTCCCCCCTCTGTAGTTGAACACGCAATAGGGAGAGTTTCTAATTTGAAATGACCTACATGGATGGGCTGTTAGAAGGCCATGTCTAACACTATAGCAAAGTTTGCAGTTGGTTGATCAGGATATTCACATTTGAGTCTGTTTTCAAATATCAGTTAAAATCCGACATAGTTGACAACATCTGTTGATTTGTCTTTAAATTCTCAATTCGAAAGTCTGTATCTTTTTGTATTTAAATTCTTGGTAAGGTATGTCTGGTTGGTTTTTGTGTCTTGTTTAGTTTTTTTTTTTTAAGGTTTATTTTTATTTTTAATTATGTATGTGTGTATGTTGTGTGAATGTCTTACTTGCGTACGTCTGCCCTTTTTGAGTCCAGAAGGTGGAGTTATAATCTGCTGTGAGCTGCCCAGTGTGGGTGTTGGGAACCTGACTCAGGTCCTCTGCAATAACAGTGAGTGTTTTTGGTAGTGGAGCCCATCTCTCCAGCCCTGTCTGTTAGTTTTGCAAGTGTGATCCTATGCTTTTCCAGCTCTTCTTCAGTCCCTTCCGCCCTCCCTGAGACCGTGGGCATGAACACAAGTGCTGGCATCAGTGTATCATGAAGCTCATTGACTACAGTTGTAGCAGGTCGAGACACGTAGTTGGTGATTGCAGTGGAAGTGCTTCTCTTTCACTATTGTCTCTTCTGTGTTGCATGAGTGTCTTCTATTAAGTGACGTTGCATTTGAATCCACACATAAAAATCTTGTCTTTGTGTATGCATGGAGCTTGTGGGATGAATGAATAGCTTTTTAATAAGGATGTACGTTTTTTCCTCATAAGAAAAACAACAGCAGAAGCATGATGACTTTTGCCTTCATTTCTGGGAAGTCACATAGACAGGGGCCAACCTTATTATGTTGTGCCAAAAGCTAGTCTGCTGCCAAATGCTGGCACTGGATACTCTTTCCAGAAAGAACAATGCTGACCAACGTAAGCCTTTAGCATTGAACCTAGAGAATGTACCATCTGTAAGTTAGACACAATTCCACATCCACCTCTTTTCTCTCTCCCTCCCTCCCTCCTTCTTCCTTCCTTCCTTTTTTTTTTTTTTTTTTTTTTTTTTTTTTTTTTTGAGACAGGGTCTCACTACGTAGCTCTGGATCTCCTGGAACTTACTGTGTAGACCAGGCTGGTCTGCAACTCACAGAGAGCTGCCTGCCTTTGTCTACTGAGATCTGGGGTTAAAGGTGAATTCCCCCCCCCCCCCCCCACTCCCAGCCTTCAGATCCATCTTGAATGACTTTGTGGTTTAAGAACTGTTGTGTGGGCAGCCTTCTGTTTCATAGCGCGGTGCTGAGAATCTCTTTTTGGTCTCACATTATACCCTCTTGTTTCCAGTTAGTCAGAGTCTGTACAGATAAAATTGTAGATAGGCGAGCTGGTGCTGGCAGCATGTTTTCCTGGGTGTTTTAGAGCAAGTGGTGCCCTCTAGTGTTAACAGTCTTTATGTAGGCCTAGGAAGTTGGGATTCCTGTGCCCTTGATGCAGTCTCTGTTAGGGCTCTTGTTTAGTCCTAATCAGTCAGGATTCCTAAGCCCTTAGCAGCAGTGTTACAGTTCTTATCTTTAAAGACCTTACAGCTTTCTGGAACTCTCCTAGTGACCAGGCTCTACAGTTTGTATCCCCGTGGTCCTTGAGCTACAGTCTTTATGCTACAGTCTCGGGCCTCTGCCCTCCCTTACCATCTTCCTTTCACCTTCTTCTGTCCTGGCTATTCTTGAGCCATTCAGTTGGTTTTCATTTTGCTGCCAAGCAGCATGGCTGCCTCACCTCTTCTGCTGCGTAGCCTGCCACCTGTCCATCTCTCAGTGACATCCCGGCTGATAATCACTTCCTATTTCTTTCTTTCTTGTGAGCTCAGTCCACACAACTGAAAGCAGGCAAGGTAGAACTTCTGACCCATGTCACATCACTGGAAAGTGGCCCCCTACAAATTCACAACTTTAGTCTGAACAGCCTCCTTATGGAGCCTGTTTGAGTTGATCACAACTCACCTTGCGTGCAAACAAAGGTTTATGTTTACTCCAGTCACAGCCTTGCCTCCTTACCGTCAGTTACCGTGGCCTTTCTTCCAGGCCAGCAATGGAAGTGCTCCCCTTGTGTCCCTGATGGAAATGGTTCCAGGGTCATCTGGAATCCGCCATGGTCTGTGCTGGCTCAAACTGACAATGGCAACAGACCTGTTTGGCTGTTTCTTCAAGAGCTGAGGCAATCATCTATAACTGTAGTTTCTTTCTTTGTTTCCGTTTTCCAAGGAATCCATGGAATGTTCCAAATGGCCACTACTGACATACAGCTTGTCTGCTGCCTGTTGAACTGACAGCCCTTTAGCTGAGAGTAGCCAGAATAGCAGAGGAGTGTCCACAGCTCCTACACAGGAAGTCTTCTCATCTCACCCTCCGCATCTCCACTTGTTTACCAGAGGAGCCTCAGAGGGATTGTTCCCAATACCAACTTCAAACTCTTACTACCAAGAGTAACTGTCACTTGTTTTCTTGGTCTCATTATGAAATAAGGTCTCATTATGTAACCCTAAGTGGCCTCAGACTTGCAGGAGTCCTTCTGCCCAGCCTCCTGAGCAACAGCATGGCAGACATGTACACTCACCTGCAAAAAACTCTTAAGAGTGCTTTATCCTGCTTGGCATCTGGCCATCATGAATTGTCAGATGGGAGTCCATTACCTCTCTCCTCTTAAGCCAGACCCAATTGTATGTGCTGCCATAGCTAAGCCAGTTACTAGCATTTAGACCCTCCATGCTTTGTGTCCAGGAGTTGTGCAGCATAGCATAGTCTCCAGAGTGTCAGACCACAGAGACCTACTACTGCTGATTAGGTGAGACAATACAAGGACTTTGGAAGATGGGAACATGGAGACAGAGATAGACTCCTCAAGACAGGCTTCACTGTTTAAGGTAAATTCTATAATGTAGGAATATATGTGGGGGAGTTTGACAAACAGTTGAATGCTGTATTCTTCCTGTGATGTTGTCTCGAGGGCTCTCTGTTAAAAATGAGAGCACAACTGCAGTTTGTCTTGGGTCTGTGGGTCAGCTGAGTAACCTAAAATAGCTGAATGAAAACACACATTGCCCAGGGATGCTGTAAGTGTCGGGGACCCTGTCAGTAAAAGTATAAAGGTCATCAAAGAGTTCAACCAGAGGGCAGAGTGAGGAAGACAGAAGGTGAGACCATTGGACCATGCGTCCATAAGGTCCTGAGTGTTTTGTTAGGCATCCTCCTAGGGCTCTGGTGAAGGAAGAAGTTCTTTTCCTGTTGTAGGTTGTGTTATTGTCATCATGGATGTGTTAGCTTTTCTGTCAGTGATGTGAGGACCATGAGCCCTCTGTCACTAACAGCCATGCATGCAAGTTAGCTGGGCAAAACTTACAGAGTGTGAGTCGATCTCAGGCCTGTTTGATCATCACTGGTACCAGCTGAGACTTGATTGAGGGGACTGCCCTTGGGCTCCACATGATGGAAATACACAGGACAAAGGGAATTTTCACTGCTGCTGTTCTGTCCTACGGAGTCATTGGGACTTCAGATTGTCTTCCTTATTAAGTTCTTAAATGACCTTTTGTGTGACTTGTGTGACTCTACACATTCTATGTCACACACGTATGCAGTATACTTTCTGTGACTGTGAGCCCCAAGCATATGGTCATCATGCGTGAATGTGGATGCATGGAAGGCATTAGGGCAGTAGCACGCATGGGGCTGGTCTCTGCTCTGCCGTGACCTTACATTGACCTTACTCTGGAATGTTATGCCTTTTTACCCATGAAACAAAGATTCTACTCTGAGTCCCTGTTTAACTATTACAGTCCTAGCAGCAAGTCACTTGGCCATTGTTGATGGCATTAGTGCCCAAGAGATGCTCCTCTCCTCAGAATTGCCT